GAAGTTTGTAGTTGAAAGCGAAGAAAAGAGAAGGAAAAAGAAAAGAATTTAATTTATCCTGTTTGTACTATCAAATTATTTCAAACTATTTTTTTTTAATATTTTGTTATTAGGGGTAGTTTTTTAAAGGTTGAAATATTGCAATAAATTATTTATAATACCATAAACTAAAAACAACGACATCGAATCTAAGGCACCGATGTTGATAACGCTCTTAAATCTTGTTACTTGAACTGGTATCCTTAGACGACAGTATGCGTAAGGAGGATGCAATATTGAAAAGATTTCTGTCTATAATATATGCGCTATAAAAATATTTTAAGGTAAAAAAACTATTAATTTTATATTTTTATCATTAAGGGCGGTTTTTAAGGGTTGAAACTTTATAAAAATAACGTAAATTGTAACCCACAATATAGAACAATATTTTTCTATATTGAAGGTAATTTGTTTGGGAATGGGGTCAGTTTAAAAAAAAAACAGTTTATTGGTTAGTCGACGTTTCGGCTNTACAAACTTAAAATTGAATATTTGTCATAAGATGCAATATAATGTTTAATATGTAATAAAAATATTACTTAATCCGGATCTGCTTAAAGATGCGCGCGATCAGGTTGCCTTCCACACTCCACTTCCCCGGATTTTGCATTCACTGGTACCCGTGCATTGGAATTAGATACGGCCAGTCTAGGTGGTCTGTGGTAATAATATACAGGATGTAAATAAGCGAAGGCCAGTTTTTTAATGATAATAGTACCTACGTATTTTCCAGAATGCTAATCTAAAATTAATTTTTTTTTAAATCAAATATACAGTTAGTCCCCGGATAGGGTTCTGCAGGCTTGTAAACTTTTGCATTGCCAATTTTTCGCGAAAAACTTATTTTTGATAAAATATTTTGTTTAAATCCTCGGATGTCATGAGCAGTAATCAAATATGTGATAAAATGCAAGTTGCGTAAATAAAACTTTTTAAAAATAAGAATAACAAAAAGTTTTTTTTGTCAAAACCGATTTATTTTATTCAAAATAGTCCCCTTCCGACTTAATACAGCAATTTGCACGGTGGCAAATCACACGAATACGAGGAGTGGTTGACAGTTAAAATGCGATTTTTAGTAAAAAATCTGTCGCAAGTGGCGATCGATGAGATGGCGCATACGATGCACTAGGAGGTGGAAGCCACCTCTTCTTGTGGGTGAAAAATAAAATATTAGAAATAACCCCAGGAATCGATAAAGCAATCAATTTTAAGCAAAAAGTATCTTATGAACATTTTTCGATAAGTCATTTTCTGAGTTATTGTTGATTAAAAATGTACAAAAAAGACGTTTTTCACTAGTTTTTCTCGAATAACTCGGAAAATAGACATTCTACGAAAAAATAAACATCACGAGGAAAATTAAGCTTATAGAAAAAGAAAAACATTGAGTTTTTTTTTTTTCATTTATTTAGGTGCAATAGGTGCTGAGATACGGCAGGTTGAAGGTAATTTCATGTCATTCAGAAACTAAATTGGTAGCATTTAACGTAAAATAACTTACAAAAATTCTATTTTTCAAGAAAAATGCTCAGAACATTTTTTAAAGTACTTTAAAAAATCTTTAAAATGAACTTGACTTTAAGTCATTAGCATAAAAATTAACAGAGTTATGATCAAAATAAAACTGTTAATTCGCATTTTCGGAAAAAAAATCAGTACAAAAACTGATGAATTTTTTCAAGACTTAAAATTAAAGATAATCCTTCTAGAATTTACATATTTTATGTGCTATCAATATATATTGTACAAGCTTAAGCGGTTTAGAATGCATATTTCTTGTAAATTTTTTTTTTAATTCCAAAAAAAAAAATAACATATTATTAAAGATAACTTTAAAAATAGAAAAGATACGAAAAATATTCAAATGCACAAAAGTTTAGATTTTTTTTCACAGGATTTTTTGTTTGTTTTTTTATTTGTGTGGGATAAAAATTAACAAAGATGTCACTGCTAGAAGTTTGTAGTAGAGGGCGAAGGTCATGTCAAACCCTTTAACCTCAAAAACCTCAAAAATAACGCGTTAAAAAAATATTTAATTTTACAGTACTTTCAGCTGTCGAAATTTTCCGGTAAATCGTTTTTGGATAGCTTTAAAATTAAGGAAGTTATCATTAAAAAAAAAACGATACCTTACCGCTTCAATTTTCGGAGCATATCAATATTTTGGTTATCCACAACTTTGGAGCATTCGTAGATGCCTCGGTATATTTAATAAAATAATATACAGGGTGTCTCATAATTAGCTCCCAACCCTGAACAGGCCGATTCTATGATCCAAACTAAGTAAAAAAGTTCATATGAACATGGGTCCGGAAATGCTTCCTAAGGGCACAGGGACCCATTGAAGAGGGAGGAATGGAAATCATGTTTTTGCAATATCTCTCAATCGCGTTGTGATAAATGAATGAAATTTGGTATACANAAATTCAAAATATGTTTAAATTTTTAACTATCTTCCTTTATTTAGACAAAAATTATAAAAAAATAATAGGTACAACTTTTATTGAAAATGGCGAAAAATTAACTAATTGATAATTTTTTTAAACTGATAGTTGAAAACCGATATTTCGTACTAACCTGTTTGTTTCTAATTAAATTTGGAAAATTTTTGGTACAAAAACTATGTTATTAGAAGCTATTTGTATTATTTTATACAATTTATCGATAGCTACTTTAGGGGCATAGTTCCCTTGGCAGCCTTGTGCCCAAATTAAAATTTGAAAGTTTCCATTTTTTAATTTTGTAGCGTAAGTTTATTATTTCAGATGTACTGTGAAATTAATGAGAAACTGTTCATTCACTAATAATTAAAAATTCTCTCTTTTTTGGCAAAGCCCAAAGTCGCAAAATGCTCTTTCTACTTTGCCAAACACAGAAACTTTTTTATTAATTCACATAAAATATGCGATCGCTTGGCCCCCATCCGATACCTAACTGCTCCACTGAAAAATTCACCGTTTCGTAAGGTCCCATACGCCAATGCGCTCCTTGATTTTCGGAAAAGCCGTACGTCAGAATCCCGTTCTGCCGGGGTAAGGGGTCCAGTGCGGCCATAAACACCGTCTAGCCTACCCGTCCGCCTCCATTCCACTTTGTTTTAGCACCAGCTTTGCTTTCCACCAAGACTTACAGCCCTAAAGTGCTTGATAGTTAACACAAGACCTACATTATTCATGGCCCGGTACACAAATTCTCCAAACAACCCCCTTTACTTTATCGGAGATGGTGGAAAATGCATTTTAAATTTTCCTGCACGGTGCAGTTCTTATCATTTATAGCGGATGAAAAATGCAAACGATTCTTGAAACCGAATAGACTTTGAGAATGGAATTACGTTTGTTTATTAATACCACAGGACTTTCAATAAAAATTACGGTATTTGTAAGACAACAAAACTAAATAGTAAAATAACGATAATAATCAGTAGAAGAAAACTCTGATCAAGTGACAATTGGATAAAATCATAGAAAACATATTTAAAAAAGGAAAGGAAAGGGAAAAAAAGGAGCAAAAATTGAGTTATCTGATGTCACAAACTTGTATCCGAGGTTCAAGGTCACAGAGAAAAAACTAATTAAAAATGTGTTTAAAACTGTTTTGGAACTACGTGAAGTGTTGTGTATTCTACGGAAGTTCGTGACATCGACCAACTGCGACATCGTATTGCCGAAGTTTGTAATACGATTCGAGAGAACGTGGCAATGTTGCAACGCGTGCGAGCGAATTGGATACGTCGCGCTGAGGCTTGTGTGCAAGCAAATGGTGGGTACATCAAACATCTTCTATGAAAATCAGCAGTTCTCAAACGATGGCTCCTTGCAATGTTGAGATAAGTCAGATTTTAAAATTACATTTTACTCAACACAAATCCGTATATATATTTGACATAAGTTCATTAACGCCCTGTATATAACAAATTAAAGAAACGAACAAAAAGGAATGGATTACAGAACAATTTTCTTAGTGCTACTACAGATATTTAAAATTACGTAAAAATTCAAATATTGTCACGTAATCAAGAACACATTGTGACGTCATTTAGTGCGACCGACAAAAAACCTGTTTCTCATCCGTATGTCATCTATTCTACAATTCCTATGCCGACGAAGTGAATACGAACTGATTACTTTTTCTGTATTATCTTCCTTGTCAAATTTTCATATTTTTTTTCTAGGAAATCCCTTTTCAACATATTTGAGAACCTTTAAGAAAGTTCATGCACCTCTTAACGTTGCTTTCTACTGTTTTTTTTTCTTCCACGATTGTTTGAAAGCGCTCCGCGTAAAATACAACGCAATTAAAAAATTATCGCACGATCTGAAGGGCACAACTGACGGCCTAAACGCATTGCGTGGCGGACTTCGTTAGCATGTGGCGTGATGTTGGTACCGGGGGCCATTTGCTGCCTTAATTTTATTAGCACCCCTATGCGAGCGTCACCCACGACGAGTCTCCATCAGATATTGCCGGTATCGAGTAACAAATCATTGAAATGGGAGACTTAAATAGGATTTTATAAGTGCTTCAGTTACAGGAGCATGACGATTAGTCTGATTGCCGGCTTTATTGCCTCTGAATTGGATAAGACGGATTATGGCCGGGTGAATAGATTCAAAAATCGAGAAGATATTCTGTACTGCTTATTTTTGTACTACTGAAAGCGTTGGGTATCATAACTATCGTTTCATATTTTTAAAATTTAACGTGGAGAATACAAAGAACGTGGAAAATATATAGGTATAAGTTTGCGTCTGAGCAGCTCCCTCCAAACATGCGCACTAGACACGGCAGGGCAACCGCTCTTATCCCAAATCGCCGCGCATATATCTTATTCCTTCTAACCGAATGCGTTCTTTCTCAATCTCGCGCAGCTCATTCTAAGTCAGCGCAAACTTCTATATCTGTCTGTAAAATTCGAAACAATGGTGACAATAAGCTTGAGAGTCTAAAACGCTTACCAGTATGTATGTAGGTGTGTTTCTTCATATCCGATTTTTGGTGAAACCTCTTCCCACAGTACTGGCATGGGTAGGGCCTTGTATCTGAATGTATGAGGAGGTGTGTCGATAACGTCGACGATCTTTTGAAGGATTTACCGCACTGCTTGCACTCAAAAACTTTCTCTACGTTGTGGACAGCTCTGAAAATAAAACGTAGGAAGTAGAAAACGCTTTGATTTGTAATGAAAGAATCATATGATTTGAAATTATTTAACGTTTGTTTTTCAGTCACTACATATCGATTTTTTAAAGCGAATATGCAACTTTTTTCTTGAATTCTCGATATTTTAAATTGAATAAAAAACATTTTTTGATATTTTCATATCGTTAGTTAATTTTTTGGTAATTATATACTCGAATGGCACAGCCTCAGATCTCGATAAACCGTAGGCATAAAAACCTAACCTAATGAACCTAAATTCATTAAACTAACCCCATAAAACCCCGACCCATAAAATTTTAACCAATAAAATCAAATCTCACAAAACCTAAACCAACAGGTTTATGGTTTCAAGAATTTGTGGTTACAATTAACTGGTTTTAAAATTTATACCTTACATTTTTTATACTCGCTAAATATTGTTCATATTTTGTGGAATCATTTGCGATTGTAGTTTATAAGAGTGCTTAAGATTTCGACTTTCAAAAATACATATTACAATTTTGTTTTCTCAAACTGCGTCGTGAAATCTGAATTTTCTAAGCTACTTTTTTTATAATTTTCGTTCCCCTCCGCTGAATAAGCTAGTGTTCCCTCAAACCACAAACGCATACCCAATTGTCAATATTATCTTCCTTGATTCATAACAAGTGTTTTTTTTTTATAATAACACTTACATTTAACAATGAAGACACATAAACACGCCGTAAGGTAACTAAACACTGGAATAAATAACTTTATAAGGCTATACACTTACACTACACAAGACACTTCATTATCTTCTTAAATATAATAAAACACAACACTTCACTATACAAATTCCATCTCGATTCCAGTAAAAGCTAGTACATTACACCGAAAATCGCGAAATTACCTACTTACCACATCAGTTTCTCGTAAACCGATAAATTAAATAGTAAAATAAATGTAACAAATTGAAGGGGTGACATATTTGACCATTTTCGTTTTACTGAATTAACGTCGACTGCCTAGCGGCTTGTCATATCACATCAGGTGGATTGGTACATAGTTTACCTAAACTACGTGAATGGCAGAGGTCACTGACACTAAGATTCATAAACATAAACATTCATAAACAGTGCTTTAAAAAATAGTATAGTACAGTGACTGGTTAAGTTGACTTTAATTCTACCACCTAACGACAATTTCAGACTCATGTTCAAAATGTCAAAATTGTAATTTATATTCTGATAAGTAATCTATAATGTTGCTTATTTCTATAAAATGACCTAATCGTTCCAAAACAACTTCACATCCAAGTTGGGACCATCAAAATTAATGTTCGTAAAAAAATATGAGGATCTGACCATTCTTCTGCGGTGTGTTTCATTTCAAATGAATACAGCCTCATAATTTCCTTCACAAGGGAGATAAAGAAAAAATGTTTTAATTATCAAAACCACACACAAAAAAAGTTGTCTGTACTTTTCATGCGACATATGTTATCCGTAGTATTTTTGCCTACTGTTTACGAATCCGGTGTCAGAATTGATTATATGAATATAACTGAAAATAATTTTTTGCATTTTTCCTAGCACTTTTTTCGTGACTCTTTTCTATTTTTGACGTATTTTTTGAGGTTAGGAAATTCCTGTGGTGTGATAGTTCAATTCTGACACCGGATTCGTGATCAGGAGGCAAAAATACTACGGATAAAATTGTGTCGCATGAAAAGTACAGACTTTTTTTTTATGTGACTGTTATTGTTTAAAGGCCATCTTTGTGCAGTATTTGGTACCACAGTGTGACGTCTTGTTCATGCTATGACGTCACCAGATCGAAAAAACAAAATGATAAGAATAAAATAATGTCAGCGATGCGATGGCCATGGAGTAATATTTTCGTAACAAAATTTGAATATTAATAAGTATTTTCAAGCTATGCAATTTCAGTAATAGTAGTTTAGTTCCAAAATGGCGGATATTTTTTTTATTAAATGTAAGTGTAAAGCACGTAAAATATTAAAATTATGAGAAAATGTTTCCCATAAAAAAAATTTTAAATCCAGTTATTTTTAAATTCAAACTTTCATAATTTTGATTAGAAAAAACATTTTTTCTCTGTCTCCCACGTGAAGGAAGTTATGGCTATGTATTCATTTGAAATGAAACACACTGTATATGTATGTACAATTATCAAGTTTTTTAATCACCTCAACATAGCAACTTCTTAATGTAAAAAATCCACTCACCTATGTTGGCTCAAGCTGATTTCGTGACCGAAAGTCTTATTGCACAATTCGCAGGCGAAGGGCCTTTTCCCGTTATGCGACCTCCTAGCATGCACCTCAAGACCGTGAGGAGTGGAAAACATCTTCTCGCATTTGATGCAAGAATAAACGTCTCCAATGGGCATCATCCCAGGCCTCATCAGCAAATGGTGGTGGTGGGGGTGAACTCCAGAAGCGCCGCTCATGAAGTGGTGCCTTAACCTGTACAACTCCTCCGTGGTAGGGGGCACTGGGTACTGTCCGTGCTGGGATTGACCGCTGGCCATCGCGGCGGCCATAGCACTGAAATATAAGGATGTGGGCGTGGGTAGAAAACTTCTTTCTTCTCCTTCCTTCTGTGGGTAAAGTCCCGAAGGGAAGAAACCCGGATGTACGAAGTTTCGCGGTAGGAACTGGGCGTTGTACTCCTGTGCCGACTTGATTTGTGCATCCTTGACCAAATCCACGAACGGTGGGTACAGATACGACCTCGTAACCGATATCGTTTCCTGGTAGCAGGGATTGTCTTGTTTCTTCGGGTTGTCGGGTCGCAGCAACGCGCTGACCGAAAACGCCTCTGATTTCTTGCTCGGTGATTCGCTCTTTTGGATCTCCGTGACAGAACTTGGCCTGGGGGACGGTGAGTTCGTTCTGGAGTGAGGGGGAGAATCGACCTCTAGTTCCGGGGAGGTGCTTGGTGATGGTCTGGGGGACTGGTTATCCCACCTGTTGTCGCTGCTGTACCTCGGCGATGCCCTTTCGTCGCCGCTGTAACATGTACCCTCTTCCTTGCGGTAGTATTTGGAGTTGTTGTTGTTCGCTTGCTCGTCTTCGTCGTCGGATTTGGACACCAGCCTGCTGACGCCGAACTTGATGGGTTCTGAAACAAACAACAAATAAGTTATTTCTATGGTGTATTTTATCAAATTTAAAGATTAGCAGTTTCTAACAAGACAATTGGCACAAGTTTTAAAGGATTATTTCTATTACTTTTATTTTAAATGTCATCACTGCCAAATTCATACTTTCCTTGTGTATTTAAAGTATGAAAAAAATAATGTACCGGACTTCGGGAAATGATAGTACTTACTGATTAAAATAAAAAGAGAAAAGGAGAATAAGAAATAGTTATTTATTGCTTTAGTGCATGAACAATGAAGGATGATGGAGCAAGTGAATTAATGAGTCGTCAAAATATTTTATTGTCGTGTATAATATTTTGTTTTTTTTATATAAAAATTGATAAAATTTCTCTTACAAAAACTATTTTTTCTGAATGGATACGTCTATTCACAATATCACTATCGACATAAAAATTCCACTGTTCCTAAAAATAAAGAAAAACTTATTTTCCTCCGTTATCAATTTTCCATGACTATTAAGAAAGCTAATAGCACATCTACGGTTGACTGAAAATATTGAAGAAGTTGTAGACAATAATCTTACACTCTCTATCAACATGAATTTAATGCATTACATTTTTTATACAAGATCGCTGTCGCTGATATGTATAGAAACGGTCGATTATTTCCTAAAGTAAGATAACTATCGAAAAATTACAAGACACAAACGTTTCAAGGTTTTTTTAAGTCTATCACAATAAAAAAAATTAAGTATAAAAGTCATGACAAAACAAATTTGTTTTTTCTTTAATGGAACACCCTGTATATTATCTCATATTTCAATTCTTCTCGAAACTCTAAACAAAATTCATATGGTACATCATGTACCTAAACTTAACCGTTTCCAATATATCGAACTTTGAAAGTATTTTACTACTCTCAAATCAAAGAAAAAGGGTCCCAAATTATGGGTATTTATTTTGAAATAACACAAGCTGGAGGATATGGATATGATTTAATTTTATTATTAGTTTTTTACAGAAAATAAAAAAGCATAATAGTTCAGGGTCGATAAAAATGAATGAAACGAAAAAATGTATTTTTTAATAAATGTCCTGGATATTTTAAATTTTATGAAAACAATAGTTATGCCAGAATAAAAAAAGAGAAAACAAGTTTTATTAACAACAAATATTTTCTTTGGAATTCTATTTTATAAAGTGCTCAAAGTGGTCACCATTCCTGTATTCCTGACAGTAAAGGGTGTTGGGAGAAATAGTGAAAATTTCATGCCTTATCTATTCCTACATCTCTTCAATATTGTGCGGCCTATTTTTGAAGACTACATTTTTTATGTCACCCCTCAGCGAAAAGTCAAGTGGTGGCATGTCGGGACACCTAGCTGGTCATCAGGCCCGGATCCAGAGGGGGTGGCGATGTGGCGATCGCCACCCCCAAAGCACAACATTTTTTAAAGATCTTCAATTTCTCCAAACGACAACAGGCAGTTAGTCGATATTAATGCAAGTAGAAGGATTCATTAGTGTCAAGCTCCTCTGAAAGAAGTGCTTTGCGCCACCCCCAAAACCAGTCTCTGGATCCGGGCCTGCTGGTCATTCAATTGTTACACAGCTAGTCAGCTAGTCAGCACGATTTTTGCCTTAGTAAGTCGACAAATACAGCTATACTTGCATTTTATGAAAAATTAATTGAACGTTCGAGAGCGTTCGATTGTGTGGATCATAATAAATTATTATTGATAAAATTATATGCATATGGCATAAGGGTGTATCTTTAGATTGGATCACCTCGTTTTTGAAAGATAGGAGACAATATGTTGGCTTGACTCATCATTGTGATGAACAGGGTAGGGTGGCTTAAACAAAATTTTTAACTCGGAGAGTAAAGCAGTTGAAATAGGAGTTCCTCAAGGTCTAGTTCTGGGCCCAATACTGTTTATTTTATACACCAACGAATTGGATACATTAATACCAGAAACGTTTCTTTCTATGTATGCCGATAATCAATCTGTTATTATTTCAGCTAAATCAAATAATGATGTAGAATATAAATGCAACAGGGTGCTAGATCTCTTAAATAACTGGTACGCTTCTAACAAACAACACTGTAATGTAGAGAAAACTCAGTATATAATATTTCACAATCGTCAAAAAATTTGTAATTTATTGAATTTAAAAATTGGAAAGCACAATTTGGTTAGTAATAATACTATTAAGTTTTTGGGAATTGCTATTGACGAAGGTCTAAATTGGAAATTACATTGTGAACAATTGAATATTAAATTAAGTTCTGTGACATATTTCATTCGGAATGTAAAATTTGCTTTAACTAAAGAACAACTACTTAACGGTTTAGTCGAGTCTAGGTTGAGGTATGGTTTAGTTTGTAATACAATTATTTTGACAATTCCTATACAAATTTGTATTTTGTGTTAGAGAAAATAAAATTATTATTATTATTGTCCCTCTGCATCATCCAATCCATTTATTAGGAAAACTTTCATCTAGATATGCCCCTACCACACGTCCAAAATATGGAGGAGCCCCATCATGTTAAAACCATATTTGTTCTGCTGGTAAATTGTTATTGTTTAGAAATGATCGTCTAAGCTCTGGAATAATATGTTCTTGCAAAAGTAATAAATGTCGTTCAGAGGTCAAATTTCCGTTTATAAAATAGGGTCCTATGACGTGTCCGCCGACAATGCCACACCAGACATTTACTTTCTGTGGTCGTTGGGTGTGAATTTCCTCCATTCAATGTGGACTTTGGTCTGACCAATACCTACAGTTGTGTCGGTTTATGTGTTCGTTTAACAAAATGCCATCAGAAAACAATATGTGGGTGACAAAGTTAACATTTTCGTTTAATTTATCCATAATATCTTCGCAGAACTCGATTCTACGATCATAATCGTCTCCACACAACTCTTGTAACAAATGACTTTTTTCTACAAACGTCAAAAAATGACAAGGTTTGCGCATTGAAACAATATGCGAAGTGACACTTTTTTTCGGATTCTTACGTTACCATGACACCGTGCGCGAAATACTTCGCGCACTAGGGTGCGAAGTAAATTTTTTAATATCTACGTTTTCCTTAGCATTAAATGTTGATTTTAGCATAGAATATACTGCCCATAATGTGGAAGGCTTCACCTTCTTGGATCTTTCTGCAAAATATGTTAACAGCACATTTTCGGATGCTTTTCTTGCTTTATTTGTTTCACACCACTCCTTAAATTGCCGATATGCAATTGGCCGCATCTGCCAAATTAGGTGGGGTACTACTTAGTTCATCGTCACTAGCAATTTCCATTATTTTAAATAATATCTGGCACTTAAAAATTGAAGACGCGAGCACAAACGTCACTTTAAAATAATTATTATTGTTGTCAACAACAACCACTTTGTTTCCATAGTAACAGTGAAAATTTGATTAGGAAAGACATTTTAAGCCAGCTCAACACTATTTTCTATAATAAATTAGGCATTTTAATTATTTATAATATTTTTAAGAGATAGATTTTGACATTTGTAGAAAAAATATTGTTTGCATCTCGTGCGCGAACTACTTTGGTGGTCTCAAATAATTTTTTAACTCGGCTTCGCCTCGTTAAAAAATTCAATTCTCGATCACCAAAGTAGCATTTCGCGCACTAGATACAAATGGAATCTTTTGCATACCTACTTATTTGAATTACTTCACTATTTCCCTGTAACGGTTATTTCTTCTGGACTTTCCGTGTGCTCTACCGACGGGCGCATTTTCGGTGGCTGACAGCGTATCGCCGTATAACAAATGACAGCAATAATCGCGGTTGAATACGAGATGAGCCCCTAGGGCTGACACTGCCGTATTAATTGAAAGGGCAGGATTGCTGGTCGTGCCCCCCGCACCGCAACAATTCACACTCGGCAAAACACGGTACGGCTCATTGCACATTCGGTCCCGGCACAGATACAGGTTCTTGCCGGCGGGGGGTTGTTTTTTTTTTTTTGGATTTAATATCGCCTGTAGTGTAACTGTGAGTAATTGGCGCCGTTCGTCATCCCCTCCGGTTCCTCGGAATCATTTAGGAGACCGAATTCGCCGGCGCAGAGAGTTCTGAAAACGAGAGGTCCCGAGAAACGATTAGGATTTTTAGGTTGATGGGGCTAAATTGGTTAAATATTTTTTTTGTTTTGCGTAGAATTGTGAAAGTTTAAATAAGTGTGGTGGTAAAATGAGTAAGCTCGTCAACTACATAGAATTCCATGATTGAATGCAGTCTTATCAGCGTGGGAAAAACACAGAGGCAGATTTAGAACCGTCACGGTTAAAAACTGTGGAATAAAGTACGAGAAAGATTAATTGGTGTACTTTGATAACACAGACCCACAAAAAAAAAAGTATCGGATCTGGTATTCAGACCCATCTATTTCCATGTATTTTTTCCGCTGAATCCGAATCTGCCTTAAGATTTGGCCCAACGGGTCTGAGTTTTTGGGAAAATTAAAAAAACTGGTCAAAATTCACAAAAAACGGCATTTACGATCGACGAAAGTTTTAAAAAGTCAAATTATTCTACCAGCTCACTAGACGTATGATTTTTCACTCGTTTAATTCCAATTTATCATCATAGAGTCAGACAAGCTGGTGCAATTTCATTCAAAAACAGAAAATAGATCAAAAACTCTATTTTCATGGCATAATTCGTGTTGCAGAGTTCTGGATCCATCTTTTTATCCACCTACCCATTTATGATTTCATACATCTTTCTATCCAGTCGTTCATGCATGAATACGCATATTTATCCATCAACCTGTATCACCTATAAAACCCACCCATCCACCCATCTATCCATCTACTTTTTGTGCCCGTAGGGCCAAATCTGAAGGCAGATTCGGATTCAGCGGAAAAAATATATGGAAATACATGGGTCTGAATACCAGATCCGATACTTTTTTTTTGTGGGGCTGTGTAATTTGTCCAAAGAAAAAAATCATCTACTTTATAGCTATACTATTCAATATTC